GTATGGAAAATTTAAGGCATCCTTTTCTTGACCTTTACTACTTTCATGTTTCCTGGTTCTCCTCTCACTCTGTAGATGAAATCCTGATTTTCAGCTGTTTTCTTCTGCTTTGCAATTTCAAGTGATTTTTTACAATCTGCTCGTTGTTCCTTAGTCATATCGTGATCACTTGTAATGGGTTCTTAGCGGCAAGGTTGAGACGTAGACACAAATCAAAAAAATTTTATTCTGTAAACTGAAAACTATACCAAATAAATATACAATGTCAATAAAGAAAACCAAAATAAAAGTTAAAGTTTGAGGTTAGTATGCAGACTTGTTCCTGCCAGTGCTGTGACCACGTACGAGCGGATACTGTTTCAACTTCTTCACTTGACAACAATGTAGAATCCTTCGAACACTGGTGTTATGTGGGGTTGACTCCTTCGGTTCCAGCCGTCTTCTGTACCAATATTGCACCACCTGTGCTTTACTCAACCTACAAATGTTGTTGTTACGTTGAAAGGCAACTAGTTCGTTCGCCACCCTCCAACGCAATAGATAACTACTTCGTTCGCTACCTTACGTTTGTCGTCGTTGAGCTCGTAACCACCCCGTACCGTATTTCCAGCTCTCCCGTCTAACCACTGACTAACTACCACCCACGTACCAACAAATGAAACTTCTCTCAATAATACCTTACCAACCAACAGCTACTTCACCAACCACGGTTGCGTGTCCAATTTCTCGCCAACAAAAACGCCAACTCTACCAACTAATTTTCTACAATGAAATTAACCAACTCTACCAACCAATTTTCTACAATAAAAATAACTAACTCTACCAACCAATTTTCTACAATAAAAATAACTAACTCTACCAACCAATTTTCTACAATAAAATAAACTTTTTTTTCTGTCTGACGAGACCAGCCTTTATTTACCCGACGCGCCGTCCTACCCCGCAGCAATAATATAATTAAATGATGTGGCGCTCAACATCCACCCTTGAACCGTAACACCAATGTTTATTCTTTTTAAATCAAGCCTGTCCTGTCCTTTCATCTGAATTGAACTTTTGCTGATTGCAAAAGTTCAGGGACTGACGTCGTCATAAGGTTTTCTTATTTTTATTCCATCTTTTTTTAATTTTGCATGTTCATCCTTGATCCGTGTATTTTCCACAAAAAAAGCATCCATATTTTCGAATTCAGAGGCGGGCGACGCCGTATTTTTTATTTTCTTTATCATTACCGCCACCGACTTACTAGTTCGTCTATCTACTGATTCTAGAAACTCCACTACGTCTCCAACATCTAGATTGGCAATATTTCTTTTTTATTCACTGTTGTGAAAGAATAGTCTTGCAACTCTTTCAGTGCAATGTAGAAAACCGTATCCGGTTAATAGTTTATCAATGACGCCCCTTTGTGCGATGTGACACTACGTGTTTTCATTATCGATGATTCCTTTGTTCCTAAATTTATTAGTGGGAAGAATTCCAATTGAACGTTGTTGAATATTTATTGTCGGGTGTCTTTGTTCTATGAGTATTGATTCGACTAGTCGTAAATTATAATGGTTGTTACTGTAATGTAAGATTTCAACATTGTTGTCCAAGATTTGCCTAGTAATTTTAGTTTTGTCTCTTTTTCTTATGATTCTTTACAGCGCCAGTTTGTACGTGCATTGTGAGTCTTCTCAACAGTTTAAAATCTTAAAATTTTTATGTTTTTCGTAGTTAAAATTTTTTATTAGATTTCGTGTTCCTTTTTCGAATTTATTTTGAAAAATAGAAAAACTACTGCAACTGCTAAAATTATATAAATGAATTTAAAAGTGAGAATTATTGAAGGCAAGTTTAGATTTATAAATTTGAATAATGATACGAATAAGGACGTTATTAATGAACATGTTCAAATTAAATTAGATACTCGGCGTCATTCTTGCAAACTTTTCCATTAGAAAAGCAGGATCCTCTTTTTGAAAAAAATAAAATATATAACTTTGTTTCAATAGTTTATATTACGGCCTGTTTGGTTTAAATGTGTTTAGACTGCAGTCGGTTCCAATTTGGGCTGCAAGGTTGGATTCAGTTGGTTTTAAATACGATTTCGTTAATCCAATTCTATTTGCTCTTTACTGGCTTACGGTTTATCAAAGAGTTATTTTCAAGATATGTTTAACGGTTTTGAAATATATTAAGGGACTTGCCCCTAAATATTTAACTGACAGAGTCATCCCCAGAACAATGCCACTGAGTCAAACGTTGCACTCGGACAATTCAGGTTTACTGTTTGTACCTGACACAAATTTGGCTTTTGGTCGAAAGAATTTTTCCGTAGTGGGTCCTGCTGTCTAGAATGGTTTGCCTAGGGACCTTTGTGATTCTGCGTTTTCTGTTATTCAATTTTGTAAAAGGTTGAAACACCATCTTCTTGTCTAAGAAAGCGTATTAGTTGACGACACAGTTGAATGTAGAAAGTATGTTGGTTGAAGACGAATCACCGCAAACTACCACTTACGTCAAACGATGACCAACGAACTACTAACGGCTACTACTAATGCAACAACTCGTTTTCTCAATATAAATTATTCTCGCATTTGTGCTAACTGACCGTTAACTATGACTGGTTGTTGTTATTAGCCTGAACTCTGTCATTGGTTGTTGTTGCCCTTCCGCATATTACCCGCATGTTCGCATATCTCAGACCTAAAACCCTGACAGCTAGAAAGTCGTCAACTACCAACTTATAAGCAATTCTTAGCAAGAACGTCTCTGCAGCATAATATAAATATAAATTGATCATGTTAATTTTTTTAAATTCGACTTCGATGTATCCAAACGTCTTGTTTTCATCGTTATGTGTAATTGTATCTAAATATATGAGTATTTATGTTTTAAAGTTGGCTTGAGTGTGACAATTTTAAAACAGACTTTAAGTTCAGGTTCGTTTGTAAACGTTTGAATTTTTTAATTTTTTGGTCGCTTAAATGTGTTCAAATGATTGAACAACTGTCCTGTGTCTTCTTTGCATTCATGTCTTCACACGGTGTGCTTAAGAAACGTAGTAAGTTTCATCATTGAGCAAAAAAGTTTTTTGCGCGTCAGACTATCAGGGCTGTCGAGCACTTCCTTGATTTTTCAATGATTAAAAACATGGCTGATAATATTACGGAATACTGCATATACTGTTTTATTTTTGAATCTGGCATTTGCTTTATAGTTTAAAAAATGTTATAAAATGTCTGGTTAAAAACATAAATGTAAAAGACAGAAAATTTAAAAAGTTAATTAATAAATTTTGACTGTTTTAATTAATTAGAATTAATTTCCAATTTTCATATTGTTTGAAAAACAAATGGAGCAGATATTGGCCATTGTTGTTTCAATTATCCTTGTCTTATCCAATTCTCACAAAAACGTGTCCTTTGGTACCGCACGAGCAGCTACCAGATTCCGGGCATTTGCAAACCAAATCACCACAACATCTGCTTGTGGAAAGTCAAACTACATTGTTTTAAGTCAGTGTTGTTTAGAATATGTAAATGAATTCATGAGTGTGATAATTTAGTGAGTTTTAATTTGGGTGATAATATGAACAATGACCAAAATGTTCAAATTGAATTACGGGGTGCCATGCTGGAAGCAAACGTTTTCATCAGGAATGCAAGGACCTCTGTCGTGAAAGCAAAATATTTTAATTAATTTTAATGTCATAAAAATTCAAAATGAACCCACTCAATTTTTGTCATTAAAATATAAACTCATACGCGTATTTATTGAAACTGTTGATAATTGAAATATAACAATATTGAACTTGAAGGTACAACCAGAATTTAAACTAAAATATAGAAAATAAATCATAAATTTGGGAAAAAATACAAATGGGATCGTTCGATACCACCACATATTGCATTTAAACATTGTCTTCATTTAATGAACAAACATTTTTGTTATATTTCTTATTACGTAGATCGCTTAATTAATTGATACAATATTGAAAGACATTAATAGACAAGAAATAGACTTTGCAACGTTCTCGACTTGTTTATTATCAACCGGATCAACAGAAAAGGAAAAGTGAAGTTACATACAAAGCAAAGAACACTTGGTCCAAAGAAAATAAATGTATATTATAAATCATAATGTTTTAATATAAAACATAAAACTTAACACCTTCTCATTTTATTTAAAACATTAGATGACCTTAACCTAAATGTTCTGAAGACCCATCGCACACATCAGATTCTTTAGTCTTGGTCCTACCATTGGTTTTGTCAGAGCATCAGCAACTTGAAGTTCTGTCGCAACTCGTTCAACTGAAACTTCTTCTTCTGCAACTTTTTCTCTGACAAAGAAATATCTAATGTGGATGTGCTTTGTTCTTCTGTGAAGTTCTGGATTGTGTGCTAACCGAATTGCTGCTTCATTGTCGACAAAAATTTCTGGTTTTTTCTTTAGATCTACGATGTCGTTCAACAATCGTTTGAGCCATATCACTTCACGAGCTGCTTCACTTGCGGCAACGATTTCTGCTTCAGTAGTTGAAATCGCAACTGAGGGCTGACGTTGGCTAAACCAACTGATCACGCTTCCTCCAAACATACAGATTACACCTGATGTCGATCTTCCACTAGATTTATCTCCTCCATGATCTGCATCACTGTAGGCTATAAGTGTATTGTTTTGACCAGACTTGTAAGCAATACCGACATCAGCTGTGCCTTGCAAATATCTGAAAATTTGCTTAACTTGTGCTACACTGGACTTGCTGGGTTTCTCTAAACTTCTGGATGCTACTCCAACTGCATATGCAATATCTGGTCTTGTTCCCGTCATCAAGTACATCAATGCACCAACTGCTGATCTGTAAGGAAATTTCACTTCCTCATGTTCATTTTTGTTTTCATCGAACTCCTCAGATTTTGAAATCGGAGTTGTACAGGATTTACACTGACTCATCCCAAACTTTTCAAGAATCATTCTTGTATAGGATGACTGACTGACATTAATATTTCCCTTCTCATCTTGATTAATCTCTAAACCAAGGAAATATTTTGTAGGTTTAGATGTTATCTTGAACTCAGACTTTAATTCTTTTTCAAATATTTTTAGTTCTTCTTTATCGGTTCCTGCAACTAGTCCATCATCAACATACAGTGCAAGTATGAGTTTCTTTCCTCCCTGTATTCTAATGAACAAACAAGTATCTGCATCGCTTTGTTTGAAATGTCTCTTTTTCAAGAATTCAGCAAAGCGTTTGTTCCAACATCTTGGAGCTTGTTGAAGTCCATAGAGACTTCGCTTGAGTTTACAGACTCTTCCTGAATTATCTTTAAAACCTTCAGGTTGCTCCATGTAAATATCTTCATCTAGTTTGCTGTATAGAAATGCTGTTGACACATCAAACTGCATGAGTGACATCTTTTCATTTGCAGCAACACTTAATAGTGTTCTTATAGTTGAACTTCTGACCACAGGACTATAGGTTTCTTCATAGTCAATTCCCTTTTTTTGAGAAAAACCTTTTACCACTAGCCTGGCTTTAAAACGTTCCACAGAACCATCTGGATTGTGTTTTACCATGTAGACCCATTTGCATGGTATTGCCTTATGACCTTTTGGAAGACTTACCAAATCCCACGTTTGATTTTCCTTTAATGACTGCATTTCACTGTTCATGGCTTTAAACCATTCATCTTTTTCATCACTTTGAATGGCATCTTTGTAGCTCTCTGGTTCAAGTACTTCACTTAATGCAGACATAACGAAAGGATCATAACGAGATGGCTTTTTGATATTATTCCTGTCACGTAGAACCATACCTTTGGTCTTTTGATTACAACAGTCAGATTGATCTTCTTCATCAGATGAAACTGAACTACGGTTGTGAACATCTTCATTAGTGTCATCTGAAATTTCTTCTTTTGAATCATCATTTCTACTACTTGAGTCATTTTCTGATTTGCAATTGATTTGAGGATCTGTTGTAAAATCTTTTTGAGTCTGATGTTCAAATGATGTTGTACATTTCATAGGTTTTTCTTGGAAAACAACATCTCTTGAGAATATCATTTTATATTGATTTTTGAGCCATATACGATAGCGTTCGTCACCATCGTAACCAACAAGGTAACCTTTTATGGCTTTCTTATCCATTTTTTGACGTTTTTGATCAGGTATGTGAACAAAACATGTAGAGCCAATTATTCTCAAGATGGTTAATTCTCGGCTTTTTACCTGTCCAAATTTCAAATGGGCTTTT